TTTTCAGCTGGAATCTCAAGATGGCAAGTGTTTGTTAATAGCTTGCCCAGTTTCAGGGTGGTATCTGTGACAAAGAAACAGAATGGTGTTAAATGACCTGCAGTGAAGGCCTTGTTAATTCACCTAGGTGGGTCAAGTCATTAAGTGTTTACTGAAGCCCTAATATGTGCACAGAAGAGTGTTCACTACCCTCATCAAATGCTGAGACCCAAATGCAGACCCATGAAGAACTTCAGCTTGACCTTCAAAATAACACCAAGCAAAGTTCTCCCTTAATTCTAATTCTTATATGTTGTCAAAAGTAGTTAGCCGAGAGAAAGAACGCACTCTTTTCACTGGTGGTAAATGGTGATTGAGTGTGTGATGGTGGGAAGGGCAAAATACGAATCAAGGAACATTACCCTTGGAAAGCGTTTTTTTTTTAATATGGAAAACTTCCCGATTTTACTAGCAGCTCAATTTAAACACGCTGATAGCTGCAGCCCTTTCAAAAAATCCCAATCCCATGGTGTTCCTCTTTTAAATTGTTGCTATAGTGACTTTCAGGATGGTGACAATTTCATGGGAAGAAGAGCCCTGGGATTTGTGGTCTTAGGGCAGCTCTCCCACTGTAAGGACAAAATCCGTTTACTAATCAGAAGCTCTGGATTACTCGTTGCTTTGCATCAATGTAAAAGTGAAGTAGGTGGAGTCTTTCTGGATTAGATCTCTAATTAAAAGCCTTACATGGTTTGTCACTGACTACAATGAAATTTCCCTTATAGGATAAAAGTTATTCAAGTACATATGCCTTACTTTTTAACCTTTCCAATTGGGCCCCTGATACATCTGAGATCAAAGAACATCCTCCTTCATTCATTAGCCTTCATTCAGCCAATATTTTTTCAGTGCTTACTATGTACCAAGCTCTCCATCAAGTTCTGGGCAGATATTCATGAACTAGCCTGATTTGGTGTTCTCCCACAGCTTAGAATCTCACCTGGAACGTGACTGCATACCAGTCAGACTCTCATTTACTGTTACGGGAATGACATGCTAAGTGTCTGCCATAACCACATACCTCTTCTGAGCAAGACCTTGTATACTTTATACCAAAGTATACTTTATACTTTGTGACCTTGCTAGTGATCACAGGTAACTGGACCCTGAAAGGTGCCCACAGAGCCTGACTGTCATGCTCTGCGAGAGTGCTCCACATTGGACATTGTACCTGTCTATCCAATCAGAACATCTCTCTTTGGGCTTTTGAATGAGAAATAAACAATCTGCACACAAGCTGATGATATGAAAAAGAAAAGAGACACAAGAGCCAAGTGAGTAAGAAGAAGCCATGGGCAAAGGCTGTAGGTAAACAGAAGATGTACTGACAGAGCATAAGCTTGAAATACAGGTGAAAGACAGCAGACAGATAGAGCCCAGTTTAGGATCAGCAATTAACTCACTAAAAGTAGTTGAGTACTTACTATGTGATAAGCATTGGTGCTGGGGATAAAATGGTGAGTAAAAATAGACAACTGACACTGCCTGAACACCTGTAATATCCTGAATGTCATTCCAGACCTCCGTAAAGTCTGCAGGTACAATAGTTGAAACTGTTACTTGTCTTTCTTACTTTCCTGAATATTCTTACAAAAAGGACCATCAATAATAGTAATCTAAACTAGTCTCCACTCTCTAAAATGAGAATTCAATAAGCTCATATCTATGATTCATGCTTAACAAAGTAAGTTTGAGGAAAATAAAGTTACTTTGTAGTAGATACAGAAACAAATCAGGGTTCCCACTCTTAGATACTTAGAATCTGGTAGGCAGTTCAGTATTGAGTCCTTTTAAGCTCATGCTACATGTGTAACTTTCTGAAGTACAGCCAACTTCCTTTCAGGATTTATCTACTTGCAGAACATGAGCAAAGAGAGAGCACAACAGCTTCACAAAGGTCTCTCCATAAGGTTCAAAACTTACCACGCAGAAAGGACCCATTTCACTTTCATCTCTTTCCTCAAGAACAGCAATCAAGACTTCAATTCACAGAGCAAGGATTTTAGGTTACCTGGACCAGGACTGGGATTACCATCCCATTTTACTAGGTTGAGAATTAGTTAAGCACATGTGAGTCAGGAACACCAGGCCTTTCCTTTTTTTTAAAATGCAAGGTAATTTTAATTATCATTCACATTAAGGTGGAAATTAAGAACAATTAGCATTCCAGGCCCTACTTACAGTATAGGGTTAATCAACAGTTTGGAAAAACCACTATTCCTCTAAATTTCAGGGTGCTTTCTCTCCAGTTCTATGCTCTATGCTTTTAGGGGCCATAATTAGACCCAGCTACTCTAGCAGCAGTGTGATTCACCAAATGCATTCAGGAAGAAATGACAGCTTTTGGATACAAGGAATTACAGAACAAGGGAAGTTTTCCAATGCACTAGTTTTTAAGGTGTCTCTAGCCTCAGAAAGCAGGGCATATTTTATACCTCTGAGGACCCACAAGAGCAAAAAGTCCTCTTCCGAACCGTGTAACTGAAAGCCTACTGCCTAGGCTGCAAATTAAACAACGAAATAGTATCTTGAAAAAAATGAATGACCAACACTAATTTTGAAGCACTTCTGAACTCCCTAGCAGAGCAGCTGACACAGAGTCAGCACCTACTGAAAGCCAGCTGAAAAGAAAAATGATCACAGTGGTAATTTATACTGAGATTTGCCACTTTGGTAGGTTTTTCAGTTAGTAGTATATTCTCTTATGAAGAGCAGTCCTACCTCTCCCATTCAGTTCTCAGGCTTATCTAACCACATGCTCTATGCTGGACATAAAAAACAAAACAAAACAGAACAAAAAAATCAGAAGGCTTGGGTTATTAATTAGAAGGTAATTGTAGATTGATCAAATAGTTGATCTACGAGTCAGCATCTTTTACTCTGATTGCCAAGACCAGCTACTTGTAGAATTATCCACATAATTGTGCATGAAGGTCTGCTCGCCTTCCCTAAATATTTTAGATTTTATCCTTGGATGGAGCTAGGAAGTTCAGAGCTATGTGCCTAAGCTATGTTGTGTGAACTCCTCATGAATTGCCTCTGATGAAATCTGCTTTGGCCAGCACTGCCAGCCTGCATGGGGAGGAAGTGTGCATGTGTTCCTCAGCGCTCTGCGCATTGCCTGCCCTGATTTCAGGAATGCTCAGGAACCCAGAACCTAAGCTGTGGTGACACCAGCCATCTGTCTTTTCTGAAATATCTATAGCAGAAACTTTTCCAGATGAAACTATATTTTATCTGGAGCAACTACTGTTTTTAATTTATATAGATACTATAAATCTGTAATTGTTAAACTTTTATCCTGTGTTTGGCACATACTATGTGCTCAGTAAAAATCCGTTGGATGAATGGAAGCCCTCCATGCTCTGACACTGGCTGAGAGACATGTATTCCTGGTAGAAGTGATTGCTGTACACAGTCCTTATGGCTTTGTATTTTGACCCTATCCCTGACTTCATTTTATTTTCTGGTGTTAGTTTTAGCTGTATTCATCTACTTATTCATTTTACCCTGTAAACCAATTCTTATCCTTTCCTGAAGAGCAAAATGGGATCAAAATGTTTAAGAAAGTATTGTAAAATTCCACAGTTTAAGTTGACACAATAGCCTTGGCTAAAATGATCTGAAACTTGTCTGTTTTCTATTCTTCTTCTGTCATCCCCTCAAAACAATTATGGTTTAGTTATAAAAAAATTCTAATTTCAAAATGTATTATTAATTTACTTTAACCCTACTATTGAACTGGTTCCTCTTCAGAAGCAGGGATGTTAGTTATTCTACCCATCTGGGCATTTGCACAAAGAACTGACAGTGCTGGGTCCATGTTGAAGACAGTCACAGAGCTAGTGACCTTTTGGAAAATGAAAAAGATATATAAATTTAAAACTGTGAAGAAAGGCTGAATACTTATACAGATTCTCTAGAGAAATACAGTGTAGGTATTTATTTAAATAAAAGGCTTTATTTAAACTAACATACTGCTCGGGGATGATTTAGCATGTTGTAGGCAAGATGGACAGTGAGGGACTATGACCTCTTGGGTGTGCTGGCACCCCATTTAGCGTCAAGAATTAGCTTCCTGGTTAAGTAAACACTCTTCTCCCTATCTGTATTGTATTTCTTTCCAGGACTCAACAGAGATGGATTATCATTTAATTCATGCCGCTAAAACTAAACTAAGCTCATGCCAGGATTAGTTTCTACCCTGGTTTATTTCCTCTATTTTGCGACTTACAGGTTCTTGACACAAAACAAAATTACAATGCTAAGACCTTTTTGATGAACTTCATTAGTTTCCTCACTAGGATCATAACTCTTTTTTAAAAATATCCTTGATTCCCTCTGTATTTATCATCTGAAAATGATGCTATGAACACCACACATGTGCATAATATGTAAAAAAAAAAAAAATACAAGCAGACCATCGGTGACAATGAGAAAAGAAACTACCATAGATACTCAAGTTAAATATGACACCTACCCCTCTTAAGTAGCTGCCAAAATATTTTTATTAACTGGAACACTTTTTTATAGACTCTTACTTTAAAAATAGGCCATTAATTGGCAGCGACAGTTTTCTTCCACAGATATTTTGCTATAAAATATTTGTTGTACAGGACTTGCTTGCTGTGTTCTACCCTCTGAGCATAAGTATACTTATTTAATACTTAGGGCTGGCACTCCTGACTCCAAAGAGCTAATGCTCACTCCCACCAAGGGGCTCCAAGGAGTTACAGAAAATAACCCAAATAGCTAGATATACTGGCATGGAAGGGTAGCCAGGACTTACTGTGGAGTTAAAAAAAAAAAATAACATTCAGAAGAATATGATCAGCATGATCTCTTTTGTATAAAACAAAAACAAAGGTATTTATGTAATTGTGGGAGAGCTGTTTGTGTCTGTCCGGGGTGCGCCTCTCCCCAGCCCAGTTGCCTTTCTGATCATGTCCTCTCTCCTATAGGGAACCTCTTGTGTTTTGGGGTGGACTAACCCCATCTCCTTCCCTAAGTGGACATATGTCAGGCCTGGCCAGAGATGTCTGTTGACTGTTCAGCGAGGCTTGTCAGCAATGGCTTGCTCTTTCCTCTGGGGCTGCTAAGCTGGCAGCATCGTCGTAGGCCATACTACCTTCATGAAGAAAAAGCCTGAACTTGAAACCAAGCAGAAGCAAGCAGGATCGTGAACCAGAGACAGAGCCCTGAAAATACTCTTCGAATCCCTAGAGCCAGCTGTTCTCAAATACACGATTCAATGTATTACCTTTTTAGTTTTTTGGGGGTTGAGGAAGAGTCTTAACTGAACTTAAACTGGGTTTCTGCAACTCTGTAGAAATTTTCCTACTGCAAGACCATTCAGAGAGAGATGCAATGTTGCTGGCTTTGAAGATGAAGGAAAGGATCCAACAGCCAAGGAATAATACAGAGGCTCTAAAAGCTGGAAAAGGCAGGAAACCTTCTTCTCTAGAGGTTCCACACAGGAACCTGAGGGTGCTTTGATTTTAGCTTGGTGAGACACATGTGCGATAATAAACCGGTGTTGTTTTAAGTCATCAAAAATAATTTGCAAGTGCAGAAGATGTACAAAGTTTCTAGAAGGCTCCCACAATGCTATCTTTGTGGAATGTAAATGAGGACAGGGGGAGGGGTTGGATTTTTATAAAATTCTTAACAACAAATGTGAATTATTTTAATTAGTTTGAAAAACTAACTTTAAATATGCTTAAGAATGGACTCTGAATTTTTAAAAATTTAAGAATCAGGTATTATCACCCAACCAGCAGAGTCAGAACAGCAGCTACTTTACAAATAAAATGGGGCAGCATGGATGTGCCTTGAAAGGAATCCCAACTAGCAGCATAATTGTGCTATTTAACACAAGGGGTCAGCCAATGAGCCAGCAACATACCCTCCTGCATACCACCCACTTGGTCAAACCAGGTCCTTCCAGCAAGACGGACCCCACTGAAGTATTTACCCCACTTGCAGGGCCTGGGACAGGACGCTCACATATATTCTTGAAGCTCATTCTGAATACAGGGCTGAGGGAGGCAGGGAAGAGACACCAGCACAGTAACTGGCCTACAATTTAGCATACTTTTCAATAGAAAATCAACAAATTGCCAACAAATTGCTATGCTAATGAAGAATTGCCCTGCTCTGCAATGAGCATTTATCCTAAGAGAAAAGACAGCTCATTTATGCCACTCCGCAGAACTAGCTGCCATTCAGAAGCTGCCCTGCTGAATTTTAAACAACTTTATGTAGAGAAAAGGGGAAACCATGAGAGCGGATTGCTTTGGTCATGTTTCTCTCTGGTCATTGTCTTATCCAGTGCCTACGACATAGTGCCAGAGAGCGAGCTGGTCCACTGTTCTACTAATGAAGGCTCAGTGCACAGGCCGCATTCAATACGTTCCTCAAAAATTTTTTCACAAGGGAAAATACCTACCCCTCCCCATGGTAATTGACAATTTTTAAAAAGTGGTTATTACATCAAACACACAACTTTTGTAAATTTACTTCATTTCACTTGGACAAGAGAAGCACGTCTGGTAATTCTGCCAAGTTTAGGGGAAGGATGGTCTACTGGGCTACACAGAGAAATCCTTTGGGTTTCTCTCAGAATCATATGTCCAAAGGACAATGGCTACAAAACAGCTCAAACCGGCCGCTGCTGTACGTACGGCCTGATTATTCATCACAAGTGACAGGGAGGGGGACGAAAAGGCCACTATCTGTTCCAGGGACTAATATTACTGCTTCAGACCAACAAGAGATTTATATTTCCATGTTTCTCTTTTTTCCTACCTTCTTTCCTACCTTTCCTCCTCCTAGTGTAAAAAGGATGCAGGTGGAGGGAAAAAGAGAAATACTAATGCCAGAGGCTGATGCTAATGTGTCACATTTAAAGGACATAAATAAAACATACTGAGGAGGCAGATACAGTGGATTCCTTTGGCCTTTTCCACTTATCTACCAGGAATAAGCTCAGGTCAGTTTTCGATTCCAATTTAAGGATAAAAAGTTAATTTGATAATTCAGGAAGAGAATTTATTTCAAAATTAAAACAGAACTTTGAGTTGTCTTTTACTCTAAAAACAAAAAATTTAAACATCATCAGTTTTTTAAGGCGGGTCATTTCAGATTTTTCGTATGTTAAGGTTGCTGATGTTTAAAAATATTTCAACGGAGGTTACTATTGCAGTGTAGCCAGAGACCTTAGAAAGAAATCTTCAGACACTTCTAAATGACCTTTTTATGTGTATACATTTCAGTTCCTTCTTTCAACTTCCTATAGTCTAGTTAGTATCTAAGTCCCTCCTCCCACCAAAATTTAAAATAAGTATGTTTTAGTAACAATACTAAACTGACCACTTGCTTAACTGTGTGACACAAATAACAATTTGAGGAACATCAGTAAGTTTACAAAGCACTCAAATACAAGTCTCAATCTCTGTAACTGTGTGGTATACAGGGAGTGGGTATTATTGTCCTGCTTTACTGATTTAAAAAAAAAAGAGTAAAAACATCATTCCCCTCATTTCCCTGAAACGTTGCCCTCCAACAGTCACCTGCTGACACCTGAGGGTCAGAAGCCTTGCTCAGCAGCCAATTGATGACTCACTTACCAACACACAGGATGTTGAAACAGAATCCTTGGGAAGTAGACTTGTTGACCAGCTGGTCAGGGAGACTGTCAAATCCAACATGGCCAGAGAGGGACAAGTTTCGGAGCTCTTCATTCTGGAATTTCGGAGGGGAAACGTTTGAGAATCCATGAACTCTGCCACATGGGCATCACATGTTACAATCGTAACTCTCTCCCTCCCTCTCATCCCGGGAGGCACTGGAAAAGGAGATCCCCTCTGTACCCACACCCTCCTTGGCTTCTGCAAAACTGAAGGTACTAGTAACTCTGAAGCCATGCTTGTCACAAAAATCACACTGACTCCCAAACTAGACCATCTCCTGATTTACCTCATTTCCTGTTACACATGTACTGGCCTGGGGAAATCTGAGTGGCTAGAGGTGACTATTTCAGACACACATTAAGTGACACAGAAAATTCCAACCATTCTCAAAGCTTCCAGAACTCAAGAAAAACTTTCAACCTGAGTTAAAACTAAATAACACTCTTCCAGATACATGAAGGAGCTTTGAGAAGCTCACGGTACAGGATACATACTCATTACAATTCTAAAAATTCTGTAACCACCATAATGCAACGTATTTTAAACTACTTGGCCCATGAACGGGTCCCATCTTCTCCATTAGCTGCAGAGGCTTCTTGGGCATCTTTGCTTCCCCACACACCTCCTAGCTCAGGTCCTACGCACACTAGAAATCAGGTCTCCGTACTGAAGGAGACCAGGGTAAGGTAGTTATCATGAATTTTAGAAGTTGAGTGATTTATGCTATTTTGTAAGATGCTGACTGCCTCCATGACTTTGACTTTGAATGCATCCCAGAGGTGTTAGAGGTGACCTGTGAGACCTTTCCTTCCCTAGAAAACAGAGGTCAGCTATGGCCCTTCAATTACAATGCCACAATTATGGTTTGGGATTCCAGAAACTAGGTATTGAAATTTTCTTGAAAACAAGTCTCCTGGCATCCTGGCTCTGTTGCCAATGAACTTCATGTTCAAAATACTTCAGTTTGGGTGAAAAAATGAACCTCAAAGTTCCAATTTTTTTAAATAAAGAAAAACCTTTGCATAGGATCACTTAAGTCAATATTTTTGAAAAGACTGGTTTTCATGGCCTCCTACTTGTGTTACATAATGATGACAGTGATTTCTACTGAGGACTGAGACTCCATTTTCAAATCACTATGGTCACTGTGTAGGCAGAGAAATGTGACTCCCTAAATGTTGTGATTTTAATGGAATGTTTTAAGAACAATATAATGCCTAAGGTTCTTGCCAGCTCTAAAATTCTGACTCTACTCTGTGAAATAACACTAAAAACCACCACACTGCCTGAACACCAGAGTGGTGGCAGCTGCAGGTTTGAGGTCAATGGGACAGAGAACAGATGCCTCTTCTATGAATAGTTTCCTTGAAACCTGCCAACAGTGAACATGAGACTCAAGAGTAGGCACTTATCCTTGGATGGGATGGCGTGGTCACAGTTCAGACAGTCTGGGTAGCCGGCCCCCGGGGGCAGTACGCTGGTGGCTGGCCAGGACTCCCAGCAATGCCGCAGAGCCCAGTCCTACTACCTGCCCCTTCCTCCTCGGAACCTCAAAGGTTCAGAAAGCAGGTATTTTTAGGGTATTACCACATCCGCCCAGACTTGGGGGAGGAGGATTTGAAATAAGCCTGGGTTATATTTAGAACTCTTTCCATCACAGCTCAGCTGTGCAGCGGCTGCTGCATATCAGGCTAGGGGGAGCCAGCCCACCGGCCTGCATTTTCATGGCATCACTGACTTGAACAATTAGCAAGCGAGCAAGCAGCGTGACAGGAGACAGGGTAGGGAGAACCATCACCCTACATTCCCTCTTCTCTCCAGCACAACAATTCTTTTGATTTCCAGGCAGGAGGAAACAGTGGCTTATTGCTCCAGATTCTGGACTGTTGGGTTTTTAGATTCAGATATCTACCCATCAGCCAATCCTGGGAAAGAATCAGAGTCAGTAATTATAGCTCTCATCCCAGAACCCAATGCTCAGCATCTCATATTCTCACCATCTCCAAAGCACTAGAAACCACCCACACACCCACTGAGTATTTTTATACCCACTGAAAACCACAAACAAAATGAAAGGTTATAAAACAGTTTGGTCTTGAAATTTATGAAATTTAAATTTATGTCTTCCGAGTCTCTTTTCTAACTTTGTGATATAAAATACGCAAATCTCACAATGCTATTTTTAAATTCCTTAACTTGAGCCTAATTCTCTGCCCAGTATTGAAGGAATCTGAGTTATTAGCCATCAGTACTTGATGGGGATCAGTACTTGAACAGGCTTAAAAACTGGAAAGCGCAGTAGAAACGCTGAAAGGCTCTAACTCACACAGAGGAGCTGAACCGAATGCAGACACTCCAGCATTGCATGCTACAAGTTTGACTGCTTCTCTATCCTTAGCTGTCTCTATCCAAAGGATGTGGGATCTCTTTTCAGTCTATAGACATGATCTCAGGGATCTCATGTATTTTCATGTCCAACACTGTCACACACATTGGAAACGACTCTTCAGAATTTTACCTCCAATACTGACTGCACTCTGCTTGAGTTCTAATTCTGAATTTCTACTGAAGAGGCAATTCTCTTGAGTTGTCCTAACCATACTGCACGCTGATATTCATGAAACTGAAATCATATTCCTCCCTCTCAAACCCACCCCTACCCCAGAGTTCCCTATTTCTGTTAATGGAATTTACCTATGCTTGAAACCTGCCTAACATGGCATGAATTCCAACGTGCTATCAAGACCACATCCTCCTCCTCTTTATTCCTACTAACTGAACAGCCTTCCAACTGGTCTCCTTTGCTTGATCCCACTCCCTCTAATCCTTCCTCTCTCGGCCTTACTGCAAAAGGGATCTCAGAACTCAAAAGCCCTCAATCCAGACTCCTAGGCCTGCCACCTCAGGGCCTCCATGGGCTGAACCCAAATTCCCATTCCTACCAGAACCCCCTGCTTCTCCACAAGGAGCACCTTGCACTGC